ACGAGGAAAAATTTTGACAATAAATAGATGGGATGCATATAAAATAAAGGATCCCACATACTACTGTAGGGTGATCAAAAGAAAACCTATAAGGAGTGACAGGAATAACAGGACAGACACTATGAAATACAGAATATTTCAGGAGTGGACCAAGAAGTCCTTGATGTCCATTTCACTTTTCATCAAATATGTGTCTAACTCCTTTTGTTCCTCATACATTTTTTCATCTGTATCATCTACACCACGATGATTAATATAAATGCCTTTAGTTTCTAGATCATCTGTTTCCATTAGCCTGTATCTTTTTCTCCTTATTGCCTGCTTAAATTATCTTGTAACAGTTACTCTCACTACTTCTTTAATTTAAAAAGTACATAAATCTCTTACGTGGGAACAATTAGAATTAAGAAGAACTGGAACAAGAAATTATTACTTTTCAAAGAACAAATACAAAAATATGCAGCTCAAATAAGTTACAAATACAATTACCTAAACCAAAATTGGGGCTGTACTATCTTTCCCCACTGTTAGATATGACTGGATTTCAAGTTTGGGGTTTACTTCAGTGAACATATTCTGCAGCCCGTAAGTTTTCAGTGTAAATCTGAACTTCAACAAATTCAGTTCTCTAACTTCTGTAGACCCCTGTGACATTTCTTTAATTAAAAATGAAAATCATGTTACGGTAAAGCAAATCCCCAAACATTTATTCTACTGTTCACTCTTTGCCATTCTGATCATTTTCAATTCCTAGTCCAAAAGCTATTGTATTAGAATTGTAGATATGGCAGGAGGGAAATACTTAACTTCAGAATTTTCATTTAATTGTTTAGGGAAAAAATAGGAATGAAGCACTACAAATACTTTTAATTTCCTATTTTTTCATACAGACACATTTTCTGTGGTTTTGGTTTTCTTTCTTTTTTTTTTTAATTAATAGTATCATCTGATCTTCATTTCATTGCTTGTCTTTTAATATTTCCTGTTGTAATGAAATGACACAGTCTTCCTAGTGTGGCTTTATTAAATAGACTCCTCTACCAGAGCTACCAGATTTTCAGCCTTGCAGGACTGGTTATGATTGCTTTCTTTCCCTGTCCCCCCCACTGTTATATATTGTTCTGCAAGGTTTTAAAGTATTATTTAGGCAGTGAGAAAACAGGAAGCACAATTTAAACAACCAGAAGGGTTTTTTCAGAGTAAAAATGTAAAGAAAAACAAAAACCTACAACTGTGTAACAATACAAAGCAAAATTTCACTGTTAGGTATGTCATTGTTTCAGTTTAACCTTTGGGCACCAGAAGGTCCAAAGCTCTTAACTTTAGCATATACCACATCAGGAAATTCCAGTACTCAATGCCAACAGGATACAAGTGAAATCTCTACTTAAATCATTTTCCAAACTAATTCTTTAAGCAAACAAGAATGTTTCCGTATTCCTCTTGAGGAAATGCTATTTTTCTGACTGTGGCCAATAAAAACTTACCATATATTTTGCACTTCATACTGAGAGTTGATTTGAAAGCTTTTGTGTTTTTTTTTTTTCGTTTATCAAGCTAATGCTGAATTTTTTTTTGCACTGTAACACTGAGTTACATGTAGGAGACTGTTACTTACTTTGCTTCTATTCTCAAACCATAATGACTTCAAAAATGCAAGGGGTTCTTCAGTCAAGTGCAAGATGCTACTGCCCAAGATATGCCTTGTTTTTCTTCTCCATGATGCAGGGCAGGGGGAACGAAACATTTCAGCCATTAGTGCTGGATCCTTTGCAGCAAAGGAATTCCAGAGGTTCTTCCTCCTCCTCTTATCACTCATTCTCTTCACTTCCACAAGTAAAGAGCCCCCTCTGAAAAGCCCCCCCTCTCAGAATTAGACTAATTCTGCAGTTTATACGACAATCCTAAGCCTCTCCTGCAGAATGATACAGTGTAAACTCCAAAACACGTATATTTTTATCACTTCACAGATAGCTCAGAGAGGACGCACTCAAGTCTCGGCACTGGATGTACGAGCTGCTTATTTGGTCAGAAATCATTTGAAGAGGACTGAAGTAACAAGTGGCTGGATGCCATAACAGAAACTCCTAAATCACCTTTGGGACAGACAGGTCCTTACCTGAAACTGCTCTCTAAACCCCTGCTGTAACTTTAATTGCATACTACCTTCTTCAGCTCTGTCTGAGATCACAGCATAAGGCTGTGAACTTTTAGCACTCCTGCTGTATATACCCCAAAAGCTGTTATCTAAAATATCACAGTATTTCTGTGCCCCCACATTCCCAACATGAAACCTGAAGGCTTCATGAAAGCAAAACATATTAAAGAATATTTAACTAATGCCTCATGACTAAAGCTTTTATTTTTTTTCTTTTTTTCCGTGTGTGTGTGTGTGTGTGTGTGTATTTGGTGGAATGATTTGAGATTCCAGTTGCAATTTAGTTTCCAAGACAGCATGCCAGTTGTTTAATGACCATGGCAACTATTTGTTACAGGCCAGCTGTAAACCCTGTTCTGCAAACATGAACCCAAACAATGATGCTCCTGCACTGGAAATATTCCAGTTATTCCCCATTGGTTTTGAAAGGACTTTTCTGTGGAATATAAAGGGTTACTTGTTTTTAGTAATTTGGATCTGTGTTACCAGAATCAGTAGTATCAGGGTTTTATGAAAAGAAAAATCCCCACTCAGTCACTACCACGGAAACCTCATGGGGAACCTTTCACAATGCAGTACTCTCCTACATCTTACCTACCATAATCTTGACTGAGTAGATGTGCTTGTGGTGCATCCTATACACTTATCAGCTAGATACAGTACAACAATGTATGTTTCCAGATAGCACAAGTGCTGCATCTTTGATAATTCACACTGAGTGTTTCTCATAGGAAATGTGACAGTAAAAGTCCATTCTTGGAGAGAAAAGGAATACAGGTCAAAGAACTGCAGTGCATGAGCTGAGGTTCTGAAGAATAATGGGTAGTGAATGTTTTGGTGGGCAACACGCAAGGGTCTTTCTTTCTAAAATAATTGTGGCAATTTGAAGATTTAAAGCACCCTCCAATATGGCACAGTTACAACAAGCAGGCTAAAATAAACAACGAGGAAGGTGCAAAACCTCTCTAGAGAGTGCCATCAGTGTGTTAGGAAATCAGATTGAAAAAGAGACTGTCAGTAGCCCTTAATTGTTCCATGTAAACATAACAAAGAGAACACAACCAATGACAAACAGTTTAAATATAGAAAGTGCTAAAAATATGAAACCTAACCTTCCTGGTGATGCCTCTTGGCAAAAGATATTTCTCCCTCGTGCTGCGAATGGAACCTCTGAATGCATCTTCTCACCAAATCCTCCCAGCCAGGTTTCATAGCTGCTCGCATGGTACTTGTGTCCAGTGAAGTTATTTTGCCTGATATTAGATAAAACATTTGTTACAACAATTTCCCTTTGCGGGGGGCGGAGAAAAGAAAAACTCCTATTTCACAATACCTTGTAGATCCTGGCGAGTAGTAAAGCTCTCTGATGAAGGAAGAAGTGGTCTTTCCTTCATTGGAGCTCTTCTTGCAACACAAATCAAGCAAGACTGCAAATCTTAAAGAAAAATGTTACTTCAGTTATTTGTATAGAAGAGGAAGATTTTGTTTCTACAAGGAATTCAGAAGTATTTTTTAAAAATTCTTTAAGTCTTTTTGGACCAAAAGAACAGATTTTGTACCAATAAAAGGTACCAATAGAACTCAGTGGTTTTACATCTTTATTATTTCCTACAACATTAAACAACACAGGAATAGGTGGGTTTGTTTTCTTTTTTAGTAGAAAAATTATCAAGGACTCCACCACAGCCCATAATTATTGGCACATGTTTATGCATACACCTATAGCAGCTCAACCACTCAGGAGATAAGTAATAAAAAAGGATATACTGCATGCACAGAGAGCACATTTCTTCAACACTCACCATTTCGTACCTTCTAAGCCACATTTCTTAAACATGCCCCAAATGCTTGCTGTCCCTGAGAAAGCAGCTTCATAATAAGCCATTTTTACTTATCTGAATACTTAAAATACAATCTGAGGAAATTTACCTGCTGAAGTAGTAAATGGTAAAGGAAATGGTGAACCACAATTGTCTTCAAATTCTAAGAACTCAAAAAATCGAAACTTTCCTCCCAGTCAACTACATTCTTCTTACAATTGCAGTGATATAAAACTAGGGTATCTCTTTAACGTAAACAGAGTTACTCTCAATTTCAATTATAGTTTTTTAACAAATAGGTGCATGTGAGTGTATACACTCATAATCCAAGATGCAAGTACACTTCTACAGTTAAATGAAAAAGAAAAGAACTTACAATTTTTCCGTTTTTCAGGATTCAGAAGCCACTTTTATCAACTTTACCTCACTTTATCAACTGCACCGAAACTGCTGCCCCGCAACAGTATGGAAAGAGAAAATACTAACACAAATTGAAAGCAGTAATTACCTTCACCGTCCTCCTTGAACGAATTTGGTTGAGAAACAGCAAAGCACTGCATAGTTTCATATTTCTGATGTGCTTCCTGGTTATCATGGCCTTCTTCAGAATCAGCAAGAGGTTTTACAAGCATCCGACAATTAAAGGTATGGCTATTACGCCTAGGAGTGTCACCAGACCAAGATCCCCCGTTCACTGAGCAAAGCAAAGATCATAGAGTGAGATAAATCTGGTAGCAGTCATTTCTCCTGCTTATCCACAGGAAATTAATCAAGGTGCTTTGCAAACTGGTCGGGAAACAAGCTTGTTTAACAACAACAATCTGTTTTTAATATTAGAGCCCAAACCAGCACATAACAAGGTAATTTATAAAATTCTCATATTTTGAGAGCACTGCTAATTTGTTCAGCTATCATGGTTTTTTTTAGTGACTTGTAACGACATAATAGAAAAGCAGGATAAAAGTCTAAATATTGGTGCATGTAAAAGTTATACAGCACAGTGAAAAGCCTACTAGGTAGAGCACGTTAATTTATATGCCTGAAAGAAATAAGGCAGTATGTAGGATCTGTCCATTGAATTTAAAAGTGATTAATACAAAAGAGGTGGCAGCGTTGTATAAAAATCTGTGTCTGGATTAGAAATAGAAAGAAAAGAAACTAATAGGTATTTATAAAAATAGGAAGCAATGCAATCGGGAATTTATTGAAACACATAGCCTCAGCTACAACGGGAAAGACTGAAGGGATAACAATGACCTGGATGCAGCGATGGATAAAACTAAAGCCTAACACAGTGCTTAAGACAAGTAAAAAAGGAAACAAAATCCTGAGATGCACAAATATAGGTACTGGACATTAGTCAGAGCGCATTAATGTAACACCACATAAGGAAATAGCAGGGTCATATTTAAAATACTCTTCACTTGCCCTCTTCAGTCATAAAATGCAATAAAGGCAGTAAATTATGGGGTTTAGCCATTGAAAGTGTTACATTTTTGATTCTTCAGGGGTTTATAAATAAAGTCATAAAATGCTAAAGTGAATTGCATAATAGTTTTTAAACTGCTGTGAGTAAATGAGGTACCTAGCATTGACTTTCTCTTTCTTTTCACCTCCTCCAAAAACCAATGACATTAAAACCAGTATTAATATAAATGCAAAAAATGGCTGCAACTAACAAAAACAGTTTTTGAAAGGCAAGGATAAATATTGGTGAGACCAAAAACATTGAAATAAAAATTCTAGCATAAGGTGTTTTCTGATTTTCCTTTTATATTCCCCCTTTCTTGGGCCATTCTTGGAATAACCATACTAGACAGGGAACTAACAGAGTTCATATAGCTAATGCTATCTTTTAGCGATTCACTCTGGAGATCCATTAAAAGTATCAGTTAACATGAGTTACTAAGAGTAATTTTAACAAAGGAGAATCTGAAAAGAGTGGAGGATGCTTTTGAGAATAATATTAATCATTCATACAGACTATATATTCATTAAAAATAAGTAGAGTATGTATGATGAAACCGTAAGTAGTGGAAGGACGTTAACTTAAGTTATTGAAACACTGATTTATGAAACTAAAGTTAAATAAGTAATGGTATGATACGAGGAAAAGATATATACCTAAAGATTTTGGCAGCAGGATTTTGACAAATTCATTGTGGTCCCCTACATGCAGGATGCTATATATGCTTGTGTTCATCAGCTCTTCTTGGTTGTACCTTAGGTACTGTGTCACATTCTCAGAAACAAACACAACATTACCTTCTGGGTTCACTACAAAAAAGAACCCATCTAGGGCCTAAAGGAAAAAAAAAAAGCAGAGAGAGAAAGAGAAAGAGAGAGAAACACAATACCAAACAATCAGATTAATAACAAGATATCCAGAAAATAAGTGTTTCCTTCAGAAGACATAGCTGAATCTTTCTGCATCCATCTCAGTTCTTATATTCTTGGCTGTAATAGTAAAGGACACATTTCAGATTGAGCATCTAATCTTACTTATATCAAACCAGTGTAAAAGCAGAGAAAGGTGCACCCCTTGCAAAATAATGAAACCCACACGTGAAAACAAACCACCACGACCCCAGCCCAAACAAACAAACAAAAAAACATAATGGAAGAGATTGCTACATATCTGCCTGCCTATGAAGTTGGAAAACTGGACCAGAAGCTGGTTCTGCTAAATCTAGAGCCTGTTCACCCCTCCATGCAGCAAGGGAGACTGATCCCAGGAAAACATCATCAGATGTGCTGACATAAGGCAAGGAAAACACTGGCAGAAAGAAAGAGAAAGGCTCTGTCCATGTCCCCAGCGATGCATCTTCACAGAAGTGAGGCCCCATGCAGCCAGGAACGCGAAGGGTTAAAAGCAGAGAAGGGCAAAGGGAGCTAAGAGCAGGCATGAGCATGGAGGATGGTGCAGCTTTAGTCCCTACTCCCAGGACTGCCTTGGTTTTTTTTATTTGACACCAGTTTAATTCAGTCCACACATGATCCAGGGAACAGGAACCAGACTTTCACCTCTTTGACTCAGCTCCATGGTATTCCAAAGGCCTTAAAAGTTTCTGCGAGAATGTGTCTAAATTAGTCATTTCTGCTGATTGGTTTCCCCCCTTATCTCTTGTGATGGTGACAACCTAGCTGAAGCATTCTTTCCAAGATATCTGCTGTATGTTATCTGAAGCCTAAGCCAAATACTACATCGCTTCTATCTCAAGAGGCTAAAGTAAAAATCTGAGTATCAGTAAGAACTTCTCATGCACTTTCTCTTCCTTAACACACAAGCATGATTGTGGATACATACGTGTGGATACATAGAGAATACATCCTTCTAACTTTATGTCATATGAGTAGATAAAGGGGGACTCATTTAAACTTAAAGCACCAAAGCTTTTGGTCTAAGCATTCAATTAACAATTAATCCATAGACTTCTGCAGCTTTATTCTCCTCTCTAAGGATTGGTGGGAAATCACTAGAACAGTTGTTAGTTATTGTATCCCCAGGGTCAGAAACAATTCAGAAAAACAGGCAACGCATGATTCATTATGGGTTAATAAAAATACTAAACCTGAACTCAGCTCACTGCAAAACAGTCTAACAAGGAGGAGCTGCCACAGCAAACGTATACAGGCATGTGGCATTTTTGATACGACCAAACTTGTATACCGTACAACTTGCGTGGTGGTCTTAGCAGGCAGTTCTCAAGTACACAGGTTACAGATACATACTGAAAATACTGCACACTACCGAGCAGTTAGCAAATCCAGACAGTACAAAAGAGAAGGCTAAGGAGGGATCTTATTTCTGTCTTCAGCCACCTAGCAGAAGGCTAAAAAGAAGACAGAGCTCTGCTCAGAGGTTCACAAGGGAAGGATGAGACGCAACAGGCATAGGTTGCAATACAGGAAACTTCATGGAGATACAAGAAAAAAAAAATTCACCATGAAGGTGGCTAGATATGGGAAGAGGCTGCCCAAAGAGACTGTGAAATCTCCTTCCCCAGAGATATTCAAACCTCGGCTGGTCTCGCACCTGAGCCACCTGCTTTAGTTGGACCTGCTCACAGTGGGAGCTGGGACTACACAAGCTCCAGATGTCCTTCCCAAACTAAGTTAGTTAATGGTTCTGCTAAAGGGGAAGGATAGTAAAAGCACAATGCACAAGCATTGCTGAGCTAATGCTTGCCAAATGCTTTGTTTGTTCTACTTTTAAATTACAAAATAATAAAACCCACAAATAAATGTACAAGTATATATATTTCCTGACTGCCTCTAAATTAATATAAACTAGGTCTTTTTTTCTCCTGTTAATTGTCACAAATTCTAACCTCTGACTTTGTTTTTTATCATTGCTGTCTTTTTCTTTCTGATCATTCTTGGTTCCTCCTGTTAATTCACTTTCTCTGGAGTGCTCACTCCTTTCCATGTGCTTTCGTAACATTCATGACATTTT